GAAGCTCATTAGCAGAGCTGAGCTGCATGAGAAACATTCACTGTTTCATTGGAGACACATCTAAACACTGCAGGACTCTGGCTGCAGGACTCTGGCTGCAGGACTCTGGCTGCAGGACTCTGGCTGCAGGACTCTGGCTGCAGGACTCTGGTTGCAGGACTCTGGCTGCAGGGCTCTGGCTGCAGGACTCTGGTTGCAGGGCTCTGGCTGCAGGGCTCTGGCTGCAGGACTCTGGGTGCAGGGCTCTGGCTGCAGGGCTCTGGGTGCAGGACTCTGGCTGCAGGGCTCTGGTTGCAGGACTCTGGCTGCAGGGCTCTGGCTGCAGGACTCTGGCTGCAGGGCTCTGGTTGCAGGACTCTGGTTGCAGGGCTCTGGTTGCAGGGCTCTGGTTGCAGGGCTCTGGCTGCAGGGCTCTGGCTGCAGGGCTCTGGCTGCAGGGCTCTGGCTGCAGGGCTCTGGCTGCAGGGCTCTGGTTGCAGGGCTCTGGCTGCAGGACTCTGGTTGCAGGGCTCTGGCCCGTACGCTCGCAGGTAGCAGCTGCTTTGTCAAATGGACTGTTGAGGCCAGCAAAGATATAAAAATGTTCTGTTTCAAATTCTTGATCACTCTGATTACATCTGCATGACAACAACCCAGAGTTTGCAGGACGGAGACCAGCGGTGGGGAATCCTCGAGGGCTGGAGTCCTGCGACTCTGAGAGTCTCAACATGCTTCAGTCCAATAGTTTAAGCGCCTCCTAAGTGCAGTCAGGTCCAGAGTCCTGCTGATGACCTCACTGTGTTGAACTAGAGACACATCTATAGTTTGCAGGACATCAGGCCTCCAGGCCTGGAGTCGCCCACACCGATGTAGACGGACATCTGACCAGCGAAACCTGATTCTGTCATAAAATAAAAATAAACTATATTTGACTGGCAACTTATTTGGTTCTGATAAGCATCTGAGGGATTTCATTCTGGAATCATCAATGTGTTGCTTTATCTTTATTTTTATGGTTTATTTGTTCTAGAAATCCAATTTTTTCAAATCAAAACGTCGTTGATCCTCTTGTTTCAATGTTCAGGAACCTTTGAGTGAAACGATTGTCAATGATGCATAAACATGAACTTCTGGTGAAAATCAACAGATATTCATTTATTTACAGATTTCACTTTGTGGGACAGAGAAACGATTAAAAAGGTATCGGTAAGGACGGTCCAGCGCAGCAGCATTTATGACTCTTCGGCCTCAGACTCCATCGAAACCGAAGCGTCTCTGCTGAGCGCCGACCCGTCGCTCATTCTCAGCGTTCGCAGCGGTCTGGTTGAAGCTGGAGGATCTGCCAGCTATCTGAACGATCACAAGCAGTTCAGGAACCAGAGCAGAGTCGTCCTTCACTACAAAGCAACAGCGGCTTATGAACGACTGGATCTGAATCACGCAGAAGCCAAAAAGCTGCAAGTTAGAGACGTGATTAAGAACAGCAGAGCTACGCATGTGGTCAGCGGCGTCCTTCACGGGGCCAACGCTTTCTTTGTGTTTGACAGCCAGAGGTTAGACAGCAGCAGCCTGCACAGCATGGAGACAGCCATGCACAGCTTAGTGCAGAGGATCCCAAAACTGGATCCTGAAGGAAACGCAGTCAGAAATCTGAGAGAAGAAGAAAAAAAACATCATTGAGAAGTTCACCTGTAAATTTTATGGAGATTTCATTCTGGACAGGAACCCTGCAACCTTTGAGGAGGCAGCAGACGCCTGCAGGAAACTCCCAGCGCTTCTGGGAGACGATGGAGAGAAATCAGTTCCAGTTAAAGTTTGGCTGACTCCTCTGAAGACCCTGGATTCATGTGCAGCTCAGCTGAAGGACGACCTTTCTGTCGGCCTGATCAGAAAGGCCGACAACGTTCTGAGAGGAGTCAGAGAAATACAGATGAGATGCAACGAGGCCATGGAAAAGGAAGCGGTGAAAACTTTCCCACAGATTCGCACAAAGCTGAAGAGTTTCCAACATCTCTGTGAAAATTACCTGGAAACAGTCCAGCAGACCCTGCAGGAGGAAGTTCCTCTGATCCGGGAAGGTAAAGAAGAAGAATCGTTAGAAAACTTCCTTGATGAGCAGGAGAAGACGCCGTTCAGCCGGAAAAACTTAGACATGTGGCTGGATTATTTAGACAGAGAAATCAACGTCATCACATCCTGCTTGGACATCATGAAGGGGATCAGGGTCATCCTGGACGAGTCAGACCTGGACAGACACGTTCTGGGTGCAGAAGACGTCCTGTGCTTCGTCTTCACCTCCATTCAAACTCGTGACGCCTACATGGAGCAGATGGACGGTTTCTTCAGTGAAACTCCAGCCAACGTGGCTCCACCAGCGAGAGACCAGTGGTTCTTCTCAGACGAGGTCTTAGGAGACATGAAGCAGAAAGCCAACATGATCTCAGAAACGGCTGAAGGCCTGAAGAGCAGCAGCGGCTTCAGTTTCCTCATCACCGCTCTGCCGAACGAGGAGCTCAGAGGAGCAACCGTCCACCATTACAGGAAAGGTGTGAAGAAAACCCAAGACTTCTCCAGACCTGAAATTCATCAAGTGAGAAACGTGACGCAGAAACAGAACCTGGTGTGGTGTAAGTACAGACTAGTTCATCTCCACTTCTCTTAAGTTACATGAAGAAAGTTGATCAGATTTACCAGATGCAATCAGTTTATTAAGTCCAGTAATGATGAAGTGAAGAGACACTTTATAGAATTTATTCATGACTGAAATAAAATCCGTTGATTTGACCGTTGCAGTATGTAAACTTCTGGTTTCAACTGTAAACAAAAATGAAGGGAAACGTTTTTTATTTAAAGGATCTTCATTGCGGGTCAAACTGCTGGTTCCTGCTCACAGATGAGCCACAAGGCTTCAGATGAACTGCTCTGTTTTATCCAACAGATTCCTGTCATCTGGCTTTGGACCCAGAAACGGCGAATGGGAACCTCCTTCTGTCTGGAGGAGGCAAAAAGGCGACGTGTGGATCCAGGCAGACGTACCCTGCCACAGAGAAGCGCTTTGATTCGTACCCGCAGGCTCTCTGCAGCCAGGGCCTGAGCGGCCGCCACTACTTTGAGGCGGTGTGGAGCAGCGAGGTTTCCAAAGAGCTGGGTATCGGTCTCGCCTATGAAAGCATTCCCAGGAAAGGAAGCGGCAGGAACACTGGGTTTGGATATAATGATGTCTCCTGGTATTTTGGCGTTAATGGCGGCGGTCTGCGCGCGTGGCACAGGCGCAGTAAGACCTGGTCCGCTGCTCTCCCTGCTGGATGCAACAGAGTCGGGGTTTACTTGGACTGGGCCGCTGGGACGCTGTCCTTCTACCAGGTGTCCTCCGACACTCTGACCCATCTCTACACCTTTGAGAACCGATTCTCTGCTCCTCTTTACCCGGGTTTCTACATCTGGGGCAAAAATAACTATGTTACGTTCAGCCCAGTTTAAAGGAAACTAATCAGATGAAATCCACTTTTCAGCTCTTATACTCAGTTTGTAAATATTAAATTTAGTCTCAGTCTGTTATACCTTCACTTTCTGTTTGGGTCATACTTTCCAGTCGGTTCTGTTTTCTCTGTTCTGTGTTTCAACCATCAGCCCCAATGTCTGCTGTGGAAATATTGGGACTGAACACTTTCACAAATCCACCATTTTATTTCTCACAGTGATTTGATGCTCCAGCTTTAAAGATGCCAAAGTGGAAAAGTGAACAGCGTTGAGCTGTTGGTGTAATAAACTACATATTTCATTACATCCTCAGCACAAAATGTCGCTTTATATTTTGATTTTTGTAAATGTTCTGTCCTTTGTTTGCTTGAATCACATCAGTGATGAGAACTTTAGCAAAATCCTCCAGAAGCAAAAGGATTTGATCATATGATGGGAGATCCTTCTGTCTGGAATCAGAAATGAATTTATTCACCTGATAAATGAATTTATTCACCTGATAAATGAATTTATTCACCTGATAAATGAATTTATTCACCTGATAAATGAATTTATTCACCTGATAAATGAATTTATTCACCTGATAAATGAATTTATTCACCTGATAAATGAATTTATTCACCTGATAAATGAATTTATTCACCTGATAAATGAATTTATTCACCTTACTCACGGTGCTACGTTACAGTCGCAGGTGGTCTGAGGAGCACCAGTCTGTCAGACTGACCTCTGACCTTTTGCCCAAGGACACAGAGGCAGACAGAGTGGGACTTGAACCAGCAACCCACCGATGACATCCTGGACGTTTTGCATTTTGTGTTGCATGATCTAAATCCTTCATTGAATGGATCTGATATTCATCAGTTCATTCAGTAACTCATCATTAATGAGAGAAATACAAATGATTCAGACTGATGAAGATCAAGAGAGAAAACAGGAACTTTGTTTTAGGTTTTATGAAAATAATCATTCTGAAGTTATTGTTACGTTTTTATTATTACAAGCTAAATATAATCAAAAGATCAACAATGTAACAACATAAATGTGATTCTGTGTTAAATCTTTATATTGACAGTGAACTTACAGAGAAACTCATTTTTACAGGAAATGATGATTTATGAACGAAACGACTCAAAATGTTTGCAAAGTTTTTCCAGCGTTGCAGAAACTTTCTGCCTCCACCAGGCTGAACAGAACCTGCTGATAAATGAGAGTCCAAACCGGAATCACTGACTTTTATCTTTCTGTGTTTTTAAAATCCTGAAATAAAAAACTATAAACCTTCATTTTTAGCAGCTTCTTGTTGGAACAAAAATTGTTTGTTCAGTTTTAAAGTACAAAGTTCAGATCATCTGTTTACAGTTCAGGACATTTAATCCTGAAGAAACAGAACCGGGTCTCAGCAGAACCGGGTCTCACCAGAACCGGGTCTCAACAGAACCGGGTCTCAACAGAACCGGGTTTCTTCTCAGCAGAACCGGGTTTCTCCTCAACAGAACCGGGTCTCAGCAGAACCGGGTCTCAGCAGAACCGGGTCTCAGCAGAACCGGGTTTCTCCCCAACAGAACCGGGTCGTGGCCGTTTTGCTGACGCAGCAAAAAGCCTTTAAAAGACGTTTCAAAGTGAAAGTGACGGCAGAAACAGATTCTCTTCTTCCTGTTCAAATCTCAGCGGCTGAAATAAGACAAACCAGCTAAAGGTTTGTTTGTCTTTTATCGTTTTAATATGAATCTGAACTTGTTTATAACGTTTTCTGATTGATTAGGAAAATCAATAATCTATATTTATCTCAGATTATTTCCTATTATAAAACATTGAAGAGTTTTGATGTTTTCACCATTAGAAATATTTAAACATTGTAGAAAAAGATTCATCACAGAAACTTAGAAACTGACAGTTTGAATTCAGGACTTTGTCAAATTAAAATTAATTGTTTTTATATGATTTGAAGGTTTTACATGTTTAGGTAAAAAAACTCAAACTTTGTGTTTGAAATGTTAAAATGGTTTGATTTGCATTTTCTGCAGTTTGTTGCTGAATCTGAGAAACAAAACAATAAAATAATGAAACTGATTCAGTTTTTTCATTTCTGTTAATCAGCTGATGAATTTCCAGCTTCCTCTTCATTCGACTGATTCTCCTTTAGACCCGATTAAAAGTTCAATTAATTATGTGACATTGAAGTCTAATCTAAACTAAAGAAAAAGAAAACTAACAGAAAACAGACACAGAATAATAATATTAAGGAAACATCTGAACAGTAAAGCCAACGAATGTTTCTCTACTGACAGTTTTTAAATTCCTCATTAAATTTATCAGGAGTCAAATAAACTTTTTCTGGATAATGATTTATGTTGATCATCTTCATGTCGTCAACAGGAAGGAAAACTCATTTTTCAGGACAAACTTCATGAACAAAAGTAAAACTTTTGTTTCTCATCAGTAGATTTTTGCCAAACTGCGTCTCAGACGGTTAATCTGGATTAAACTTGAGCTGCTGGGGCTTTTTGGTCACTTGTGGTTTAATGAATAACATTTACCTGGAATATGAAGGCATTACATGGACAGTGATAAGAAATAAAAATAGTAAATTAATAAAATCAGTAAAATCACTTTGGTGCAAATATTCATTAATTGAAGCGGCTATAATAACTTATCAATAATGTAACTGAAATAACAAAACATTTCCAATAGTGTACAAATTACTGACTCATTTCTATTTTATTGATGAAGCTTTAAATGTCGAACATTAAAGAGTCACATTTATCTCATTCTGTGTTTTAACACATTTCACAGAGGAATTAATGCATTTATACAAATTATTCAAACTGCAAATTTAATGCTGCACCTCGGTCACAATATTCACTTATTTTATTTGTCAGCTATTAATTATTGGTTTCACTCCATCATGAAATATTAATATCAGTGACGTTACAGAGATCACAGAAAGCCTCAGTGGGACAGAAATCATCGTCTTTTTTAGAGGAATCTAAACATTCCTGGTGAATGAAGTCGGTTTCTTTCTGTTTCTCATGACGAACAAACAAATGAAATGATTCCTGTTTTCCAAACCATCTCTAATCTCTATGAACAGTTTTATAGAACAGAACAACAGAGGAGTTCACTTAAAAAGCATTTTTTGTGTTTCCAGTTCAGAGTCCAGAGTCTGAAACCAAAGTGGGTCGAAATGCTGACAGAAACAGAAACTGCAGTTTTACTGTCAGTTAGAATAATGATGATGTCAGGATTGAACCAGAAACAGGAAAAGTTCCAGCAGCTGATTGGATTTTTATGTCAAAGGCTCCATTAATAATATTTAGTCTGGAAAAAAACTGTTTTATATATTCATGAGATAAAATGAGTAAAAACATAAACATAAAATGTTCTTAGCAATTTTTAAATTTAACTTAAGGAAACAAAGGAGAGAACTGGACAATGTGAGGAATTTAATCTTTAATATAATCTTTAATTTAATCTTTAATATAATCTTTAATATAATCTTTAATATAATACCAAACAGTGAAATATGAAACTGTAAATTCTTCTTGTTTGGGTTAAACTTGTGATCTTGGTTGTTTATTTGGGTTTTGCTTGTTTCCTCTTTTATGTTTCTGTTTCACTTTGGCTAGACCTTTCTTAGTTATTCCAGTTTCTGCATTTTGTTTCTTATTTTGGTGAAGTCACTGGTCGTTTCCCTTTTTCTTTGTTTCAGATGTTTCTTAGTTATTTTAGTTTATGTCCGTTTGGTCCAATTATTTTTAAGTTAGATTTATTTTCTGTTTCCCAGTTTGTTCTCCCTCGCCCGCTGTGCCGCTTCCTCTCTCCTCTCCTCTTCCTGAACCTGTAGCCTGTTGTTAGCTCATCAGCTTGTTTGCTCAGGCTGATGAGCTAACATCAGGCTGATAGCTCATGAGCATGTTAGCTCATCAGTCTGTTAGCTCAGGCTGATGAGCCTGTTAGCCTGTTAGCTCATCAGCTTGTTAGCTCATTAGCCTGTTAGCTCATCAGCTTGTTAGCTCATCATCCTGTTAGCTCATCAGCTTGTTAGCTCATCATCCTGTTAGCTCTTCAGCCTGTTAGCTCATCAACTTGTTTGCTCATTAGCCTGTTAGCTCATTAGCCTGTTATCTCATCAGCCTTTTAGTTCTTCAGCTTGTTTGCTCATTACCCTGTTAGCTCATCAGCTTGTTAGCTCATCAGCCTGTTAGCTCTTCAGCCTGTTTGCTCTTCAGCCTGTTAGCTCATCAGCCTGTTAGCTCATCAGCTTGTTAGCTCATTAGCCTGTTAGCTCATCAGCTTGTTAGCTCATTAGCCTGTTAGCTCATTAGCCTGTCGACAGGCTGCAGGTCTTTCTGTCTGCATTCAGCCTCCTCAGTATTTAAGGCCGTCATTCTCAGGTTATCAATGTTTCTGTTTTACAGGGAGGAGAAGAAATGAGGCCGACTCTACATTTCATTCTGACGTTAAGTAAATAAAACCTTTTTATGGTTATGGACAAATAAATTGAGTTATTTTAAATGTCAGGATCCTGGTTTGTTTCAGTGTTTGGGTTTATTTTCATTTTCTTGTGTATTTCTGCTCAGCTTTAGATCATTTCTATCAACCTGATGAATAAATATTTCATCACCAACTTCCTTCATGTTGGATCCAATCTATTCATAACATTAAATCCTGAATGCATTTATTCTAAATGTAATATTTGAATCTAACAGTTAAAATAAAAATTAAGAGCAACTCTTGGTGATTAAATCAGCGAACCATAACTTCATATCTTATCATATTTAATTCCTGTTATCTGTGACAGTAACAGGGAATTTTAATAATTTCCTTTAAAATTCTCAAATATGTTTTCCTTTTAGGTTTTCTGCCTTTTCTGGAAACTGCAATTACAAAGTTTGAAGGACAAAATGTCACCTTCCAACCAAACATCCCTGGACCTCAGATTAGTTCCTATTACTGGACTTTTATGCAAAATAATCAAACTGAGAAAATAATAGATGTGACTGGAGAGATCAAGAAAATGAACAGAACCAGATTTGAAGGTCGCCTGGATACGGATGTAAAAACTGGATCAATCACAATTTCAAACCTCAATCTTTGTGACAAAGGAAGGGTTTTTTTTCCAGAGAAGGGAGAAAAATCTCTCACCACATCGTGGAACTGGAGGTCAAAGGTGAGAAACATAAATGAAAAAACACGCAATGAAAGAAAGACTGGAATCCTGTTTTTTAGCTTCATTTATAGTTTTATTGCACTTATAATGTAAATTATATTTTTCTCCTATTGTTCAGAAAACAATGATGCTGTTGAACTGCATCTTCCGGTGGGCTCCAATGCTACTCTGAGATCCACACTGGAAAAACTGAAGCACCATCATGAAATCTCCTGGTTGTTCGGCAAACTGTGTCCTGAAAGAGAAATTGCCAACAATAAAAAAAACTCCAGTCATCATGGAGATATTTTCAATAATGTGATTCTTAATCTAACTAATGGAGACCTGACAATCCCTCAGATCACAAAAAGCTTCAGTGGAAAATATTATTTTAGTATATTGAAGGGTGGATATCCATACATTTCAGGAATATATGATGTCAGCGTGTTCGGTAAGTATTTTGGATCCACTGAAACTCATGAAGCTTTTCTACAGATTCATTAAAAATAATAATAGGGAGATTATATCTAATGTATATAAACATGTACAGATGCATTTCTCTGACAGTTCTATAGATACAAAGCAAAAGTGGTAAGTAGATCACCTGTAGTCCAGGTTGGAAGAAATTTGACAGGAAATTAAGAATAAGATTCTTCAAAACACCTTTCAGTTTTCTAAACCAACAATTGGAGGAACAATTGGAGGAATTGTCACCAGATTGGGAATCACTCACATATTTTGGGGCTGATTCTGTTCTGGCAGGGAGTTCAGACAGAAATTCAATAAATATTTTAGTCGACGTTTCCACTGAACCCACTGCATTAAAAACTGGGTTTGACGTCCAGTTACTACAGATTCTGTTGCTGGTTGCAAGGAAAATGATAACTCTGTGCTGCTCAAGCTTTTACCTCCCACCCTTCAACAATAGCAGAAAGACTGAGGAAAGAATGTGAATATAATGCAAAGAATAACAGCAAAACTTCATGTGAAAATGGACCCCATACAGAATGAGGTTCATACACTGAGAGTGTGGACTTCAGCTATGCTAACCCATAGCCTTATAATGCTATGCTAACCCATAGCCTTATAATGCTATGCTAACCTATAGCATGAAAATGCTATGCTAACCCATAGCCTTATAATGCTATGCTAACCCATACCATGAAAATGCTATGCTAACCAATAACATTATAATGCTATGCTAACCCATAGCATTATAATACTATGCTAACCCATAGCATGAAAATGCTATGCTAACCCATAGCATTATAATGCTATGCTAACCCATAGCCTTATAAGGCTATGCTAACCCATAGCATTATAATACTATGCTAACCCATAGCATGAAAATGCTATGCTAACCCATAGCATTATAATGCTATGCTAACCCATAGCCTTATAAGGCTATGCTAACCCATAGCCTTATAATGCTATGCTAACCCATAGCCTTATAATGCTATGCTAACCCATTATGCTATGCTAACCCAAGCATAATGCTATGCTGACCCATAGCCTTATAATGCTATGCTAACCCATAGCAATGAAAATGCTATGCTAACCCATAGCATTATAATGCTATGCTAACCCATAGCATCAAAGTCCTATGGGTTATAAAAAGTTGTTAGTCTGGATATGTTCACCTATCTGTCATGTGAGCCATGAGAAACTTTCTGAGAAATGGATTTAAATGTTTGCTGAGAACCTTTTTGTCTCTCTCGCTTTTCTGTTGTCCTTTGTAAGTGCAAGTATAAATATGCATGTGTGTTGGATTCATAACGTTCTTAAATAAAGAATGTTAAAAAAAGAATCACTCAAAATAATAAATTAACATTGTGTTTCTGATTTTTCAGATGGTTATGTGAATCTTCCGGTGGGCTTCAATGTTACTCTGAGATCCACACTGCAAAAACTGGAGGAGGATCATGAAATCTCCTGGTTGTTCGGCAAACTGTTTCCTGATAGAGAAATCGCCAACAATAAAAAACGCCACAGTCATCATGGAGATATTTTTGATAATGTGATTCTTAATCTAACTAACGGAGCCCTGACAATCCTTCAGATCACAAAAAGCTTCAGTGGAAAATATTATTTTAGGATATTGCAGGGTGGATATCCATACATTTCAGAAATGTACGACGTCAGCGTGTTCGGTAAGTATTATGGATCCACTGAAACTCATGAAGCTTTTCTACAAAATTACTAAAAATAATAATGTGATATCTTAATCTCAACACTCCTGGTAAAATAACTCTTTGCCTCATAAAAACTGTGGTTAATCATTTTAAAACTGTTTTTATTAATACTTTTCCAGAACATTTTTATTGACCATATCATAGAGAGTGGAGTATTTCTGCTGCCAATGGAAACAGAAGAAATCCTGTCTGCAGAGGAGCAGATGATGGAAACTGCATCACATATATCTGTGAACAGTTCAGCATAAAACATAAATTACTTTAGTCCAGAAGTTTACAGCTGATTGTCACTAACTTTTCTTCTGTACCATTTATTTTCTATTTCTCCTGCCTCATGTTCTGAGCTCCTGATCCTCAGTTTTGTCCCATTTTCAGTGTTTTTTCTGCTTCCTTCAGTGTTAACATTATGCATGATGTAATCTTTGAAAGGTTTGAAGTCAAGATGATCAGAAATAAAAGCTCATCAGTGTAGGAACTGTAACTATAACTCCCAGCAACCTGACAGGTTCAAAGAGTTTTTCCACTCAGCAGAAAACCAGAAACAAGTTGGCAAAAAAAAAAAAAAAAAAAACACCAAGCAAAACTTCTGGGAAATTTTTAAATTTGTTTTAATATCCTAACTAATGGTATGAAAAACCAGCCTTTCATCGTCAGTTCTGGATGTTTAAAATGTTAAACTTTGAATTTATCCTGCAGACTAAATCTGAACTCAGGGATTGATTGATTATTTACCTTCATTTTGGTTTCAGCCAAAAATGACAGAAACACATTAATTCAACTAAAGTTCAAATTCATGATTTCCTTTTTGGAAAATGGGATGAAACAGAAAACTTCTGACAGCTCCTCTGATTATTTTCTCATTGCTTTTGCATTGGATGTTGTTTTGTGGGAACTTCATGGTTTCTTCTCCTTCAGATCCGGTTTCTGTTCCCAACATCACCAAGCAGACGGCTCCACCAACCCACAGAGGCTGCAGCCTGACCTGTTCAGTGGACAACGGGCCTGGAGTGAACCTGACCTGGTTCAGAGGAAACGCCAACGTCAGCTGCATCAGCAACCAGAGCGTCTCCGTCCTCGCTCTGCCGCTGCACATCCAGGCGGAGGATTCCTCCACCTACAGCTGCCAGGCACAAAACCCCGTCAGCCAGCAGAGAAAAGCTCTGGACTCCCAGCGGCTGACGTGTCGCAACGCAGGTAAAAGAATCAGAGTCTGAGGAACATGCAGCTCAGTTTCCTCAGTTCTGATCAACATCAGAGCTGAAAGCAGCCAGGAAACAGATTTATTAATAAATTCCCTCCTTCTGGTGGAAATTAGGATTAGGCTCTGTATTAGAGTGAAGCTTTACCTGATCACATCTGTTTCTCTGGGTTAATTTCTGTTTTATGAAGTTTTCATGGTGATAAATATTTTGAATTATTGCTGGTTTTCAGGAACAGTGAAGCTTTGGGTTGGACCGGTGATTGGGGGATCATTGCTGCCACTCTGGTCATCATTGCTGCTACAGGTCTTTTCGCCTGTTGCAAAAAAAGGAAAAAAGGTACATATGAAAAAGTCTTTTTGATCATATTTGCTACATTATTCCTTCAACATTATCCTCTGCTGATGATGTTGCGTAACACCAACAGGTTGTCATGTTAGAAATCCTCTAAGGTCTCAGTCAAACCAAGAGACTTCGCCTCAGAACTGCAGCTCCTCTCTGGTAGATCTATAAAATATGATCTAAACATTCAAAATCATTTATCATGTTTGTTAAATTTCTTGCTATTTTGCATCAACAAAAAGCAAATATCTCTATATATTTTGGATTATTTTTGGACTCTATAACCAAGCTGTATTATTTGATTTCTTTCAGACAAGTGAAGAATATCTGCTGCAAAGCGTTCAAGGATCAAGTTATGAGACAGTAAAGTGTCGTGGTTCACTGACCTGCTCCACCCAAAGGGAAGAGATGGAGAACATCGACCGCTGTTGATCTCACAGAGAAACTGAACATAAACAATTCAATGTGATTTTATTTTAATCTTTGAATGTAAATCCCTTACATGTTTCATTTCCATATTTTAATGTTTATCCTGTATAATAAACAAATTATGAAGTGAATCTGAGTGTCATTTAGTCTGGACGAAATATTTCATATTTACTGCAGATGTTTTAGAGTTTAATGAGCGAAACATGAAGCGGGTCAGACTCCTGCTGACCTGGAGCCTCAGACTGATGGAGTTTCTGCTGGTTTCAGATCAGCTCAGGCTGAAAACCCAACAGAACCGATTCTCCACCAACACACAACTCTGACCTGAACTCGGTTCTGTTGAAGCCCGGATCCATGGAAACTGTTCAAATCCTTCAATCAGGGCGGATCAGCGGCCTGCTGGGCTGTTGGCGCCCTCTTCCGGTTGATATGTGGTATTACATCTCTTCAATATTGTGTCTCTGTTAACAAATAAATGGCCACTGGGGGGCGCTAGACCATCCTATGATCCAGCTGCCTGGGTCAATCCTATGACGTCATCTGGGTTTTAAATAATGTGTAAAGAAAGATAGTAAAGAAAAGCCTAAGTTAATAAATATCCAAAGGATGAGTTCATTTATTCTATCCTTTTATTTCAATTAAAATTCCAAAGTTCATATAAAGTTATTAAAAATCTGTTCGCATTGTTTAAACTAAGCTATCTTTCATTTGTTGGGAATTACTAGTGAAAAGTGTATTTTCCTACAGCAGGATGGTCTTTGAAGGCAGCACAAGCAGCGAAGAAGAAGAAGAGCTGATGGGCGCTAGCAGCAGGAGCTACAGGCAGCTGGATTCAGCGAGTCAGCTCAGACTTGCCTGGAGGAATCCTGCTAAACACTAATAAGTAAGTTAGCAGCACAAGGTGAGTTTCGGCTTGAAGCTGTTGGACTGTGCGCTTGTTTTCTGTCGCGTTAGGGCGAAGCTAGGCTAGCTGTTAGCTACTCCAGTAAACCAGCTTTGCTGTCAAAGATCTTCTGCAGCTTCTGGCTGCCATCAGGTCTGATGGGTCGCATTGGAAAATAATCCGACCTGAGCTGTTCAGACTGTCATGAAAAGATCAGATGCAGGTTCTGGCAATGAAATTGGAATTGGGTCACTTCAGTCTGCAGTGTGAACGCAGCCTGAGATCCAGAGGCCCCTGCGCCCTTTGACCCTCAGCGACCCTCAGTTCAGTTACCGCCATGTCCGATTCACTTGTTGGATCAGTTTATTGTCTAAAATATAATATTCTCTCGCTGCCAACGTTTTAGAGGGAATATCAGGTTGGCCAACTGTAACTGAATATGTCTTAGTTTGTACCTTAAGGTGCAAATGAAATAAAGTGGCTTCCATTAAATGAGCAAGGAAAATGTTTGCATGACATCAGAGACGTTATAATATGAATGTGTTCATGTTTCATCTTCTCTGCTTCAGCAGATAATCCAGAAATGAAGCGATTCAGCTGCAGCTTCAGTTAATCCTGCAGGTTCCAGCAGCAGCATGAGGAGAGCGCAGCAGAATAGAATAGAATAGCATTTATTGTCATTGAACAGGATTCAACGAAATTTCTATTGCAACTCCCGTGCAAAAAGTCAAAATATACAATATTAAATAAACAAACACACAATAATAATAATATATACACTAAAATTAACTAAAGGCACTCAACCACAGCAAAGAAGAAGCAGCAGGTCCAATTATGGTAAAGTGCAGATGATGTGACAGTGCAAGTGCAGAACAATATGGCTGTGTGGGGGTGGGGGGTGTATGTGAGGTTATGATATGTGTGGGAGGGGGCGGCAGGGAGTAATGGCTCTGACGGCTGTGGGGAAGAAACTGTTTCTCAGTCTGTTTGTTGTAGTCCGTATATTCCTGAACCGCTTGCCTGATGGCAGCGGCACAAACAGACTGTGGCCCGGGTGGCTGGAATCCATGGCTATGGATCCAGCTCTCTTCTTGACCCGGCCCATGTAAATAGAGTCCAGGTCCGGGAGGGGCATCCCACAATGCCTTGTGCTGTTCTCACCACCCGTGTCAGTTGTTTCCTCTCCAGTGCTGTGCAGCCACCATACCACACAGTCACGTTGAGGCAGAGGATGCTCTCGATCGTCGCCCTGTAAAAGTTCACGAGCAGCCGTGAGGAAAGTCCAGCCCCTCAGTTTCCTGAGGAAGAAGAGCCTTTGTTGTGCTTTCTTCACCAGGTGGGAGGTGTTGGTATTCCAGGAGAGGTCAGACGTGATGTGGAGGCCCAGGAACTTGATGTTGTCCACACGCTCCACCTCTTCTCCATCTATGAGAAGGGGAGTGTGACCCGTCCTCCTGGACCTTCTGTAGTCCACAATGACCTCCTTGGTCTTCCCTGTGTTCAGCACCAAGTTATTGGCTGAACACCACTGAGTGAGCTGCTGAATCTCCTCTCTGTAGGGGGTCTCGTTGTTGTCTGAAATGAGACCCACTACTGTTGTGTCGTCCGCGAACTTGACGACTGTGTTGGTGGGGTGGATGGCAACGCAGTCGTGTGTAAACAGGGTGAAGAGAGCTGGGCTGAGCACACAGCCCTGCGGTGTGCCTGTGTTGAGGACCAGTGGGGACGATGTTGAGCCACCTATTCTCACCACCTGAGGCCTGTTGGTGAGGAAGTCTCTGATCCAGTGGCACAGTGAAGCAGGCAGCCCCACCTTGAGTAGCTTCAGCACCAGCTTGTCTGGGATGACGGTGTTAAATGCTGAGCTGAAGTCTACAAATAGCATCCTGACGTAGGTGTTGGGATGCTGCAGATGGGTCAGGGCTGTGTGCAGAGTGATGGAGACAGCAGAGTGACGCCACCAGTGCAGAGCTTGCTCAGAAACATTAAGTAGATATCTTAGAGACTCGTTAAAGGCAGAGTGAAATTCTGCAGGAAGCCTTAAAGATTTGGATGTAGCTTTTTTAAATTTTACTGTAGGAACAAAATCTAAAAATGTTGATCCATCAAACACATTGTTGGCTAAGTCTTAGAAAGTTCAAACGAGTCTAAATACAAACTAAAATGTTCCACTTGTGGTTTCATGACGCTCTTTGTGACGCACACACCCGGGTATCATGCAACCACAACGATACCCAGAACCACAGAGTTCTTCATCGATCGGACCGGGTCGCGTCAAAGTTTCCTCTGCTGGCAGGAAACAAGTTGGTTCTGATTTTCCTGACAAGTCAACCAGACTGCAGGAGTTTTGAACATGGAGGTTTCTCACCACATCATCTGTAGACAAACATCACAGACATTTCAGTCATTTTTGTTTCAAGACACAAACCAGAGAAATATTTTACATCCAGAGTCTTTCAGAGCTGTCAGCGGGACAGGAGAGGAAATGAGCCGAGCTGAAATGTGCCAGGAGTCATGAGTTTCCTCCTCCGCTCTCTGTGGGTCAGGTTCTGCTATGTGGGTCAGGTTCTGGTCTCTGTGGGTCAGGTTCTGGTCTCTGTGGGTCAGGTTCTGGTCTCTGTGGGTCAGGTTCTGGTCTCTGCGGGTCAGGTTCTGGTCTCTGCGGGTCAGGTTCTGGTCTATGTGGGTCAGGTTCTGGTCTCTGTGGGTCAGGTTCTGGTCTCTGTGGGTCAGGTTCTGGTCTCTGCAGGTCAGGTTCTGGTCTCTGTGGGTCAGGTTCTGATCTCTGTGGGTCAGGTTCTGGTCTCTGTGGGTCAGGTTCTGGTCTCTGTGGGTCAGGTTCTGGTCTCTGTGGGTCAGGTTCTGGTCTCTGTGGGTCAGGTTCTGGTCTCTGTGGGTCAGGTTCTGGTCTCTGTGGGTCAGGTTCTGGTCTCTGTGGGTCAGGTTCTGGTCTCTGTGGGTCAGGTTCTGGTCTCTGTGGGTCAGGTTCTGGTCTCTGTGGGTCAGGTTCTGGTCTCTGTGGGTCAGGTACTGCAGACACATTTTTATCAGAATCATGCAGAGAAATATAACGTCTAGATTAGACAGGAACCGGGTCAGAACCCGACTGCCAGCTCACAGACCCCCGATGGACCACATGGGGTCACATGGGGTCACATGGGGTCACATGGGGTCACCCGAGGGAGGCGCTCGGTGATCGGACTCATTCAGGATCCAAAGGTCCGAACGTCAGAATGAATCAATCAGAACCAAACATCTGATCAAACACATGATCATTGAGCTGAGGTACAACTGATCAGTGAAGAAGAACTCATCAGTTCACAATCAGGAGGAAACTTTCTCTGAAACGATTGGAGCAAATTTAACTGAACTATTTGAGTTTTATCAGGGGCAATAAAACTGGATCAGATTCAGAAAGAAACTGGGAAAGGCCTGGAGATGTTCTGGTTCTGCTGACCGGGTTCTGATGTTCTGGTCCTGATGTTCTGGTCCTGATGTTCTGGTTCTGATATTCTGGTTCTACTGACCGGGTTCTGATGTTCTGGTTCTGCTGACCGGTTCTGATGTTCTGGTTCTGATGTTCTGGTTCTGCTGACCGGGTTCTGATGTTCTGGTCCTGATGTTCTGGTTCTGATATTCTGGTTCTACTGACCGGGTTCTGATGTTCTGGTTCTGCTGATCGGGTTCTGATGTTCTGGTTCTGATGTTCTGGTTCTGCTGACCGGGTTCTGATGTTCTGGTCCTGATGTTCTGGTTCTACTGACCGGGTTCTGATGTTCTGGTTCTACTGACCGGGTTCTGATGTTCTGGTTCTGATGTTCTGGTTCTGATGTTCTGGTCCTGATGTTCTGGTTCTACTGACCGGGTTCTGATGTTCTGGTTCTACTGACCGGGTTCTGATGTTCTGGTCCTGATGTTCTGGTCCTGATGTTCTGGTTCTGATATTCTGGTTCTACTGACCGGGTTCTGATGTTCTGGTTCTGATATTCTGGTTCTACTGACCGGGTTCTGATGTTCTGGTTCTGCTGATCGGGTTCTGATGTTCTGGTTCTGATGTTCTGGTTCCGATGTTCTGGTCCTGATGTCCGGGTTCTGATGTTCTGGTTCTGCTGACCGGGTTCTGATGTTCTAACCGGGTTCTGATGTTCTGGTTCTGGTTCTGCTGGACTGGGGTTTCTGATGTTCTGGTTCTACTGACCGGGTTCTGATGTTCTGGTTCTGCTGACCGGGTTCTGATGTTCTAACCGGGTTCTGATGTTCTGGTTCTGCTGACCGGGTTCTGATGTTCTGGTTCTACTGACGGGTTCTGATGTTCTGGTCCTGATGTTCTGGTCCTGATGTTCTGGTTGTGATATTCTGGTTCTGCTGACCGGGTTCTGATGTTCTGGTTCTGATATTCTGGTTCTACTGACCGGGTTCTGATGTTCTGGTTCTGATATTCTGGTTCTACTGACCGGGTTCTGATGTTCTGGTTCTGCTGATCGGGTTCTGATGTTCTGGTTCTGATATTCTGGTTCTACTGACCGGGTTCTGATGTTCTGGTTCTGCTGACCGGGTTCTGATGTTCTAACCGGGTTCTGATGTTCTGGTTCTGCTGACCGGGTTCTGATGTTCTGGTTCTACTGACCGGGTTCTGATGTTCTGGTTCTGCTGACCGGGTTCTGATGTTCTAACCGGGTTCTGATGTTCTGGTTCTGCTGACCGGGTTCTGATGTTCTGGTTCTACTGACCGGTTCTGATGTTCTGGTCCTGATGTTCTGGTCCTGATGTTCTGGTTGTGATATTCTGGTTCTGCTGACCGGGGTTCTGATGTTCTGGTTCTGATATTCTGGTTCTACTGATCGGGTTCTGATGTTCTGGTTCTGATATTCTGGTTCTACTGACCGGTTCTGATGTTCTGGTTCTGCTGATCGGGTTCTGATGTTCTGGTTCTGATATTCTGGTTCTACTGACCGGGTTCTGATGTTCTGGTTCTGATGTTCTGGTTCCGATGTTCTGGTCCTGATGTCCGGGTTCTGATGTTCTGGTTTTGCTTACCGGGTTCTGATGTTCTGGTTCTGCTGACCGGGTTCTGATGTTCTAACCGGGTTCTGATGTTCTGGTTCTGCTGACCGGTTCTGATGTTCTGGTTCTACTGACCGGGTTCTGATGTTCTGGTTCTGCTGACCGGGTTCTGATGTTCTAACCGGGTTCTGATGTTCTGGTTCTGCTGACCGGGTTCTGATGTTCTGGTTCTACTGACCGGGTTCTGATGTTCTGGTTCTGATATTCTGGTTCTACTGACCGGGTTCTGATGTTCCGGTTCTACTGACCGGGTTCTGATGTTCTGGTCCTGATGTTCTGGTTCTACTGACCGGGTTCTGATGTTCTGGTTCTGATGTTCTGGTTCCGATGTTCTGGTCCTGATGTCCGGGTTCTGATGTTCTGGTTCTGCTGACCGGGTTCTGATGTTCTAACCGGGTTCTGATGTTCTGGTTCTGCTGACCGGGTTCTGATGTTCTGGTTCTACTGACCGGGTTCTGATGTTCTGGTTCTGCTGACCGGGTTCTGATGTTCTGGTTCTGATGTTCTGGTTCTGCTGACCGGGTTCTGATGTTCTGGTTCTACTGACCGGGTTCTGATGTTCTGGTCCTGATGTTCTGGTCCTGATGTTCTGGTTGTGATATTCTGGTTCTGCTGACCGGGTTCTGATGTTCTGGTTCTGATATTCTGGTTCTACTGATCGGGTTCTGATGTTCTGGTTCTGATATTCTGGTTCTACTGACCGGGTTCTGATGTTCTGGTTCTGCTGATCGGGTTCTGATGTTCTGGTTCTGATGTTCTGGTTCCGATGTTCTGGTCCTGATGTCCGGGTTCTGATGTTCTGGTTCTGCTTACCGGGTTCTGATGTTCTGGTTCTGCTGACCGGGTTCTGATGTTCTAACCGGGTTCTGATGTTCTGGTTCTGCTGACCGGGTTCTGATGTTCTGGTTCTACTGACCGGGTTCTGATGTTCTGGTTCTGCTGACCGGGTTCTGATGTTCTAACCGGGTTCTGATGTTCTGGTTCTGCTGACCGGGTTCTGATGTTCTGGTTCTACTGACCGGGTTCTGATGTTCTGGTTCTGATATTCTGGTTCTACTGACCGGGTTCTGATGTTCCGGTTCTACTGACCGGGTTCTGATGTTCTGGTCCTGATGTTCTGGTTCTACTGACCGGGTTCTGATGTTCTGGTTCTGATGTTCTGGTTCAGGACCAGCAGTGGAAGTTATTCTCCTGGAGTCTCTCTGACTGTTGCAGGTGAAGCTTCACTGACATGCTTTCCATCCACCGTATGAAGAGACGAAAAGCAGCTTCATCTTGTTTCAGTTCTCCGTGTTCAGCTGCTGGAATCAGAGTACCAAGCGGGTTTCACCAGGGCTCATCTGAAATGTCTCAGCAGCTGCCGGCCCGATCATCAGTCCTACATCTGGATCAGAAACGGACGGGAAATCCTGAACCAAACGTCTCCTTCTGTTTCTGTCTCGGTTCGTCCCGCAGACACATATTCCTGCTCTCTGGAGGGAAACCAGGAGTTTCCGTCTCCGTCGGTCTGTGAGTTCACTCGGCTTCTGCAGCATCAGCTGATCTGATCTGATTCTTTATGATTCTTGATAACAACATTCAGTGGTTTCATGTTTCCCCTGCAGATGCTCCTCTTCCTCCCTCCGTCTCAGTCAGTCCCTCTGCTGAGGTGGAGGAGGGAAGTTCAGTGACTCTGACCTGCAGCAGCGATGCTAACCCAGCAGCTAGCTACTCCTGGTACAAGGAGAGCATCACCAGTTCTCCCAGTAAAGACTCCCAGCTGGTCTTCAGCTCCATCCAGTCCTCTGACTCTGGAATGTTTATCTGTAAAGCTGAAAACCAGCTGGGCTGGAAATGGTCTGAATTCAAACGGATTGATGTTAAATGTGAGTAAAGCTGATCTGATTCGTTCATCTCTGGGGATTTTTACAGGACCACTGGGGTCAGAGGTCACCAAGCGATGCCCAATTACTTCAGACCAGCCAGCCTTTCAGCTTGATGCAGTGATGTTGGCTTGTTCTGAGAGAACTGAGGATTTCAATCATAAACTCAGAGATGATGCATTTGATGGTTGATTGAAAAACTATTTATTTTAAGCTGCAAATATTAAATATAATTCATAAAAACGTTTTTGTGTTATTTGGGAAGCAGAGGAAAATGAAACCTTTGCTTCTGAGCGAGAGTATAGAGCTACAATGCATAGATTACAAACAAACTCATATTTTTTGCTTTGGCAGCTCATCGACATTTTCTAAACCTTTTGAAAACTATAAATGACCATCAAGCGATTCCTTTGCTTAATAAATAGGAACATTTAGGATTACAGACGGTTTGTTGCTGTCGGGCCATAACATTCATCATCTGAAAGTGACTGATCAGAATGAATCAGGAACCAGTTTGAGATCCGATTCTCAAAGTGGATTCTGAGTTTTCTGATTTCAAACATATAAAACATGAAGAAACGGTCATTTGGATGTTGACACACATTTTAGGTGTTACAGCTGCTAGATGCAGTTCGTCAGTGTGACGCACATCACTGCTCATCAAACCCGTCTGATTTCTGCCATGACAGGTCAGGGTTCGGGGTTAGGTTAGGCTCAGGGTCAGGGTTAGGATCAGGGTTAGGGTTAGGATCAGGGTAATCTATGCACTGCATATTTAGATGTTTTAGTTGTAATTGGAATAAAATAAACCTAACAGACGACAGACTGGAATGTATTCCTGCGGCTTCAGTGTCTCTAATCATGACGTGTTTGTTCCTGTTTTCCTCTATTATGTTGATGGTGGAAGTTATTAAATCTTAAGATGTCTAATTATTCTCATCTCTGCTGCTCTGATCTAATCTAAAAAATGTATGTTTTTAAAATCTTTTTTCTTCTGTTCTCCTCCTGCAGATGCTCCTCTTCCTCCCTCCGTCTCAGTCAGTCCCTCTGCTGAGGTGGAGGAGGGAAGTTCAGTGACTCTGACCTGCAGCAGCGATGCTAACCCAGCAGCTAGCTACTCCTGGTACAAGGAGGATGAAGATTCTCCCAGAGCTTCAGGACGGAGCTTCATCATCACTGACGTCAGACCTGAACACAGTGGAAATTATTCCTGTAAAGCTGAAAACACCAGAGGAAGTCAGAGCTCCACCGTTCACCTGGAGGTCAAAGGTCATCTTCACCTTCAGCTTCCTCTGGTTTCTCAAGAACCAGAGCAGAACTCTGATCCAAACTGTCTAAATGCAATGTGAAAACCTCCATCATGTTTCTGGTAACTGAGTTTTCTTGTTCAGGATCCAGATCTGCAGCTGCTGCAGGAAGTGCTGCTGTTCTACTTCCTGTCGTTTTCCTCTCTGTGTGTCTGTGGATCCGGTGAGCGGTTCTGATCCGTTAATGACCATTAACTCATTCAGTCACGTCAGACTAAAGTTGTACTCTTCATCATCGTCCTGAGCAGGAAGACGAGGAGCTGCAAGGAAACAGCTGAGCTCAGAGCAGACGAGCTGCAGCAGGTGAGGACGCTCTGGCAGCCTGTGGTTTGGACTCTTTTTCTCAGGTAAAAACCTTTTCTCTGCTAACCTGCCATCATCTGAGACTTCAGGAGGATCCAGAGCAGCAGGATGAGCTTCTGTACGCCCCTGTTCGCTTCATCAGGAAGCCGCCAGACGGAGCAGCTCAGAGTCCCAGAGGAAACCAGAGATACCAGGACGCTGCTGCTGCAGCAGCTGCTGCAGCTGCAGCTGCTGCAGAGAGCCACCTTCACCCCGAGGTGAGCCGCTGCTCACAGCGAGACGTCTGCACAGACTTTAACTGGACCGCTCTAAGTTCAGATCCATTCAGTTCATTTAAGCAGAAATAAAGACAAACAGATTGAGTTCAGTCGGACGGAGTCTGGTGATGAAACTCTACAGTTTATTATTCTAAAGACAAACTGATTTATTCAGAAACAGTTCAGTCACACGACTCCAAACTCATCCAAAAACATTTCATATGATTTCCTGCTGCTTGTTCAGAGTCTCATGTTTTCTCTTCCTCTCCCAGATCCAGACATGACGACAGCAGAGAGGATCCAGCCGCACTTTACAGCACCAACCAACACAGGACCTGAACGACTTTACCTACGCTCATATTTTCCTTTTAGCTTCTGTATGTTGCATCTCTGAACTGCCAGAGTAAAAATGTTCTGGGTCCAGACGGGCCGCCGAATGTTTAGGGTCTGAGACTGCAGCCATCATCTTCCTCGCTCTTCATCAGGACACCGTTAGTTTCCTGTGTTATTATGGGATGGCTGCTGGTTTCTGCAGGACGATGGTTTCAGCTCCAGTTCGTTCAGGAAGAGACACAGAGAACAGAACAGTTCTGCTGATCGTCTCTGATCAGCAGAACCAGAATCTGAGCTCAACTGGACCCAGAACGTTTCAAATGTCTGATTTCTGTCTGCAGAGGTCAAAACTGAGAACTACATAAATATATAATTTAATACTTCAGTGGAACACAAGATGGAGCCAGTTTACTGTTAACAACACAAACAACAGTTTTTACTCAGGCACCGACTAAAACACTCATTACAGGAAAACATTTGAGATAAAAATGATTTAAATTAAACTCTGAGTTTATAAAAACCTGTTGAGTTTGTAGATTCATGAATCGTCTCTGCAGGTTTACTGAAGTTTGTTCTGGAAAACGTTCACATCGATATCAAGTTCAGCTTTAGACAGCGAAGAAAGATTTTATATTTCATATCGTAGAAATCCTGTCTGAGTGACGGGATCAGGTTCCTCTTCACTTCCTGAGCTGCTGACGACGTCAGGAGAGAAGAATCATAAATTTAGTGTTTAACAGTAAAATTACAGCGTCAGAAAGGAAGAGAAAATGACTTCAGAGCCTTTTGTAGAAAGATGCAGAGAACCAAACGGTTTGTGACGGTTTGGTTTCTGTAGAACAGCCTCTCTGTTGGAGCCAGAGCTGCAGGTCTGATATATTTGAATTATTTATGCATCTCCCACACTGAGCTGCCATCACAGAGAATAGTCTCACACTGAACATGTAAAATTAGGCCAGAGTGTTGAAACCGCTTCCTCTGCAGCAGAACAAACCCACACTTAAAGTACCTTTGATGTTTAAATGGATTTTAAGCACTTAAATATGAAAGGAACTGTTGAAACGTTTCTTGTTAGTCAAATTATTGATGATAACGATGTTGATGATGTTGGTGATGATAATGATGGTGGTGATGATGATGATGATTATAGTGATGATGATGATGATGATTATAGTGATGATGATGATGATGATGGTGGTGATGATGATGATGGTGGTGATGATAATGATGATGATGGTGGTGATTAAAGTGATGATGATAATGATAACGGTGGTGATGATGTTGGTAATGATGGTGGTGATGATAATGGTGATGATGATGATGGTGGTGATGATGATGATGGTGATGATAGTGATGATGATAATGATTATAGTGATAATGATGATGATGTTTTTGCTGCAGCTGCTGAAGTTGAAGTGTCTGATCAGCAGAATCATGATGTGACTGAGGTCTGATGCTGTGGTTCTGCTGGTTCTGGTTCTGTTTCTGTTGCATTTGGGTCACAGTGTGGCTGAATGTTGAGCAACAGGAAGAGCTCGGTGGTTTCCTCCATCAGAGGAACCTGCAGCAGTTTATGCTGCAGGAGCTGCAGCATAAACTGCTGCATCCGACTTTAGCTGCTGATTCTCTGTCTGCTGGAAAAGCTTCAGCTTCCACCAGAACCAAACTCCATCAGAACCAATCGGACCGGAGGACGCAGCCGGTGTCCTGGAGCCGAGTCCATCAGAGAGACGGACTGCAGAGGAGGAAGTGATGTCATCATGGTGGTTAGTCTGTGGGTCATGTGACTTCCTGACGTCCAGATCAGAGCTGATCTCAGTCTGAGTCTCTGCTGCTGAAGACGAGACGGGATGGAGGCGCTGCTCACAGCTCTGCTCCGTGAGTTACGGTCCGGTTCTGGTTCTGTTCTGGTCCTGGTTCTGTTCTGGTTCAGGTTCTGGTTCTAGTTCAGGTTCTGTTCTGGTTCTGGTTCTGTTCTGGTTCATGTTCTGGTTCTGTTCTAGTTCAGGTTCTGGTTCAGGTTCTGGTTCTGGTCCTCGTCCTGGTTCTGGTTCTGATCCTGGTTCAGGTTCTGGTTCCGGTCCTGGTTCAGGTTCTGGTTCTGGTTCTGGTTCTGTTTCAGGTTCTGGTCCTGGTTCAGATTCTGGTTCTGGTTCTGGTTCTGGTTCTAGTTCAGGTTCCGGTTCAGATTCTGGTTCTGGTTCTGTTCTGGTCCTGGTTCTGGTTCTGGTTCTGGTTCTGGTTCTGTTCTGGTCCTGGTTCTGGTTCTGGTCCTGGTTCTGGTTCTGGTTCTGGTTCTGTTCTGGTCCTGGTTCTGGTCCTGGTTCTGGTTCTGGTTCAGGTTCTGGTCCTGGTTCAGGTTCTGGTTCTGGTTCTGGTTCTGGTCCTGGTTCTGGTTCTGGTTCTGGTTCTGATTCTGTTCTGGTCCTGGTTCTGGTCCTGGTTCTGGTTCTGGTTCTGGTCCTGGTCCTGGTTCTGGTTCTGGTTCTGGTTCTGGTTCTGGTCCTGGTTCTGGTTCTGGTTCAGGTTCTGGTTCAGATTCTGGTTCTGGTTCTGGTTCTGTTCTGGTCCTGGTTCTGGTCCTGGTTCTGGTCCTGGTTGTGGTTCTGGTCCTGGTCCTGGTTCTGGTCCTGGTTCTGGTCCTGGTCCTGGTTCTGGTTCTGGTTCTGGTTCTGGTCCTGGTTGTGGTTCTGGTCCTGGTCCTGGTTCTGGTCCTGGTTCTGGTTCTGTTCTGGTCCTGGTTCTGGTTCTGGTTCTGGTCCTGGTTCTGGTTCTGGTTCAGGTTCTGGTTCTGTTCTGGTTCAGGTTCAGATTCTGGTTCTGGTCCTGGTTCTGTTTCTGGTTCTGGTCCTGGTTCTGGTTCTGGTTCTGGTTCTGTTCTGGTTCTGGTTCTGTTCTGGTCCTGGTTCTGGTTCTGGTCCTGGTTCAGGTTCTGGTTCTGGTTCTGTTCTGGTCCTGGTTCAGGTTCTGGTCCTGGTTCTGGTTCTGGTTCTGTTCTGGTTCTGGTTCTGTTCTGGTCCTGGTTCAGGTTCTGGTCCTGGTTCAGGTTCTGGTTCTGGTTCTGTTCTGGTCCTGGTTCTGGTTCTGGTCCTGGTTCAGGTTCTGGTCCTGGTTCTGGTTCTGGTTCTGTTCTGGTCCTGGTTCTGGTTCTGGTTCTGGTCCTGGTTCTGGTTCTGGTTCTGTTCTGGTTCTGGTTCTGTTCTGGTCCTGGTTCTGGTTCTGGTTCTGTTCTGGTTCTGGTTCTGTTCTGGTCCTGGTTCTGGTTCTGGTTCTGGTCCTGGTTCAGGTTCTGGTCCTGGTTCTGGTTCAGGTTCTGTTCTGGTTCTGGTCCTGGTTCTGGTTCTGTTCTGGTCCTGGTTCTGGTTCTGGTTCTGTTCTGGTTCTGGTTCTGGTTCTGTTCTGGTCCTGGTTCTGGTTCTGGTTCTGGTCCTGGTTCTGGTTCTGGTTCTGGTCCTGGTTCTGGTCCTGGTTCAGGTTCTGGTCCTGGTTCTGGTTCTGGTTCTGGTTCTGGTTCTGGTCCTGGTTCTGGTCCTGGTTCAGGTTCAGGTTCTGGTCCTGGTTCTGGTTCTGGTCCTGGTTCTGGTTCTGTTCTGGTCCTGGTTCTGGTTCTGGTTCTGGTTCTGTTCTGGTTCTGGTTCTGTTCTGGTCCTGGTTCTGGTTCTGGTCCTGGTTCTGGTTCTGGTTCTGTTCTGGTCCTGGTTCTGGTTCTGGTTCTGGTTCTGTTCTGGTCCTGGTTCTGGTTCTGGTTCTGGTCCTGGTTCTGGTTCTGGTTCTGGTTCTGGTCCTGGTTCTCTTCTGGTTCTGGTTCTGGTTCTGGTTCTGGTTCTGGTCCTGGTTCTGGTCCTGGTTCTGGTTCAGGTTCTGGTCCTGGTTCTGGTTCTGGTTCTGGTCCTGGTTCTGGTTCTGTTCTGGTCCTGGTTCTGGTTTCTGGTTCTGGTTCTGGTTCTGTTCTGGTCCTGGTTCTGGTTCTGGTTCTGGTCCTGGTTCTGGTTCTGGTTCTGTTCTGGTCCTGGTTCTGGTTCTGGTTCTGGTCCTGGTCCTGGTTCTGTTCTGGTCCTGGTTCTGGTTCTGGTCCTGGTTTCTGGTTCTGGTTCTGTTCTGGTCCTGGTTCTGGTTCTGGTTCTGGTCCTGGTCCTGGTTCTGTTCTGGTTCTGGTTCTGGTTCTGGTTCTGGTCCTGGTTCTGGTTCTGGTCTGGTTCAGGTTCTGGTTCTGGTCCTGGTTCTGGTTTGGTTCTGGTTCTGTTCTGGTCCTGGTCCTGGTTCTGGTTCTGGTTCTGGTCCTGGTTCTGGTTCAGGTTCTGGTTCTGGTCCTGGTTCTGGTTCTGGTTCAGGTTCAGGTTCTGGTTCTGTTCTGGTCCTGGTTCTGGTTCTGTTCTGGTACTGGTTCTGGTCCTGGTCCTGGTTCTGGTTCAGGTTCTGGTCCTGGTTCTGGTTCTGGTTCTGGTTCAGGTTCTGGTTCAGGTTCAGGTTCTGGTTCTGTTCTGGTTCTGGTTCTGGTTCAGGTTCTGGTTCTGGTTCTGGTTCAGGTTCTGGTTCTGGTTCTGGTGGTCTGGTTCTGGTCTGGTTCTGGTTCAGGTTCAGGTTCTGGTTCTGGTTCTGGTTCAGGTCTGGTTCTGGTTCTGGTCTGGTCTGGTCCTGGTTCTGGTCCTGGTCTGGTTCTGGTTCTGGTTCTGTTCTGGTCCTGGTTCTGGTTCTGGTTCTGGTCCTGGTCCTGGTTCTGTTCTGGTCCTGGTTCTGGTTTTGGTCCTGGTTCTGGTTCTGGTTCTGTTCTGGTCCTGGTTCTGGTTCTGGTTCTGGTCCTGGTCCTGGTTCTGTTCTGGTTCTGGTTCTGGTTCTGGTTCTGGTCCTGGTTCTGGTTCTGGTTCTGGTTCAGGTTCTGGTTCTGGTTCTGGTTCTGGTCCTGGTTCTGGTTCTGGTTCTGGTTCAGGTTCTGGTTCTGGTTCTGGTCCTGGTTCTGGTTCTGGTTCTGGTTCTGTTCTGGTCCTGGTCCTGGTTCTGGTTCTGGTCCTGGTTCTGGTTCTGGTTCTGGTTCAGGTTCTGGTTCTGGTTCTGGTCCTGGTTCTGGTTCTGGTTCTGGTTCTGTTCTGGTCCTGGTCCTGGTTCTGGTTCTGGTTCTGGTCCTGGTTCTGGTTCAGGTTCTGGTTCTGGTCCTGGTCCTGGTTCTGGTTCAGGTTCTGGTCCTGGTTCTGGTTCTGGTTCTGGTTCAGGTTCTGGTTCAGGTTCAGGTTCTGGTTCTGTTCTGGTTCTGGTTCTGGTTCTGGTTCAGGTTCTGGTTCTGGTTCTGGTTCTGGTCCTGGTTCTGGTCCTGGTTCTGGTTCAGGTTCAGGTCCTGGTTCTGGTTCTGGTTCAGGTCCTGGTTCTGGTTCTGTCCTGGTTCTGGTTCTGGTTCTGGTTCTGGTTCTGTTCTGGTTCTGGTCCTGGTTCTGGTTCTGGTTCTGGTTCTGGTTCTGGTTCTGTTCTGGTTCTGGTTCTGGTT